TTAATAACTGTGATGGTTGGGTTAGATGTAGACATTAATAACTAAGATGGTTAATTTGAGGGTTGGGGAAGGTGTAGACTTTATTAACTGTGATAGTTGGGTTAAAGGTTGGGAAGTAGACGTTAATAACTGTGATGGTAGGGTTAAAGGTTGGGAAGTAGACGTTAATATCTGTGATGGTGGGGTTAAAGGTTGGGGAAGTAGACGTTAATAACTGTGATAGCTGGGTTAAAGGTTGGGAAGTAGACGTTAATAACTGTGATAGTTGGGTTAAAGGTTGGGAAGTAGACGTTAATAACTGTGATAGTTGGGTTAAAGGTTGGGAAGTAGACGTTAATAACTGTAATAGTTGGGTTAAAGGTTGGGAAGTAGACGTTAATAACTGTGATGGTTGGGTTAAAGGTTGAAGAAGTAGACGTTAATAACTGTGATAGTTGGGTTAAAGGTTGGGAAGTAGACGTTAATAACTGTGATAGTTGGGTTAAAGGTTGGGAAGTAGACGTTAATAACTGTGATAGTTGGGTTAAAGGTTGGGAAGTAGACGTTAATAACTGTGATAGTTGGGTTAAAGGTTGGGAAGTAGACGTTAATAACTGTGATAGTTGGGTTAAAGGTTGGGAAGTAGACGTTAATAACTGTGATGGGGGGGTTAAAGGTTGAGGAAGTAGACGTTAATAACTGTGATGGTTGGGTTAAAGGTTGAAGAAGTAGACGTTAATAACTGTGATGGGGGGGTTAAAGGTTGAAGAAGTAGACGTTAATAACTGTGATGGGGGGGTTAAAGGTTGGGAAGTAGACGTTAATAACTGTGATAGTTGGGTTAAAGGTTGGGAAGTAGACGTTAATAACTGTAATAGTTGGGTTAAAGGTTGGGAAGTAGACGTTAATAACTGTGATAGTTGGGTTAAAGGTTGGGGAAGTAGACGTTAATAACTGTGATAGTTGGGTTAAAGGTTGGGGAAGTATACGTTAATAACTGATAGTTGGGTTAAAGGTTGGGAAGTAGACGTTAATAACTGTGATGGGGGGGTTAAAGGTTGAAGAAGTAGACGTTAATAACTGTGATGGGGGGGTTAAAGGTTGGGAAGTAGACGTTAATAACTGTGATGGTTGGGTTAAAGGTTGGGAAGTAGACGTTAATAACTGTGATAGTTGGGTTAAAGGTGGGGAAGTAGACGTTAATAACTGTGATGGTTGGGTTAAAGGTTGGGGAAGTAGACGTTAATAACTGTGATAGTTGGGTTAAAGGTTGGGGAAGTAGACGTTAATAACTGTGATAGTTGGGTTAAAGGTTGGGAAGTATACGTTAATAACTGTGATGGTTGGGTTAGATGTAGACATTAATAACTAAGATGGTTAATTTGAGGGTTGGGGAAGGTGTAGACTTTATTAACAGTGATGGTTGGGTTTAAGTGTGGAGTATGTGTAGACGTTAATAACTGATGTACAATGCCATGTTGTCGACAACATAGTTTTGACGTGGGTCTCCATAACTTTAAGTTATGCCTCTAACGTACTGCAAGTTATGCCTCTAAGGCCCCTTCATGCTACGTCCTGTCTTGAAGTGTGCAGACGGACCCTGCTCATCCATAGTACAGTTAATAACACCACGGAAAAGTTATTAACCCGGTTCTCAACTGTTATTACTGTGTTATTCAGACAAACACACAAAGCCATTGTCACCACCACAAACCCCACCTCGCCCCGGTCTCCTCGAGACAAATGTTGGCAGGTATACTGCTGTTCATTGAATTTTTTATAGGTTACATGAAATTAAAATATAGTCTGTTAGTTTTAAGGACATCAATATGTTGGTGTGTTCCAAAATAGTCACAAAATGTGCCTTTTTGAGATATAAAAATATAAACATGCCGTTTGTATCCTCCGTCCAAATGGATCAATGTTTTTTTACAAGACCTCATACTTCAGTTTCTCATCAAAGCTGGACCTAAATGCTCTTTAGTATCCCTTTTAAGACGCTTCCGATTTGCTTTTCATTATATGTGCTTTAGCTCAACCACTCTCGCTGGCAGAACTGTGATACAATACTATTGACTGCTTTTTAAAACTGGCATGGGCTACGCTATGCCCCACCCTCTTTTCATTTTTCAGTTGAGATTACATCAAACATTGAATGAAAATGCCCATTTCAAAGCCTTTCACGAGACCTTTACAGTTTACTGACCGCATGTGTATTAAAAACAATAAATATAAATGAAGACGTTAAAAGACCTTCTTTAGTTTGTTTAATGTAAGTTTGTCTTTGTCTCTTGCATGTCTTACAGCCCTGTTCTATATGTTTATCTATATATATTTTTCTTTTACAGCTAACCAGTACAACAACAATGCAGAAATGATACTTGGAGAGCACTTCTTCTTTTTTTTTTTTTTTTTTTTTTTTTGGGGATGAGCAAAAGAAAACGTTCTCACTGAATGTACAAAGAGCACACTTGACACATACTGGACTGTGGTATCAACCCTCAAAGTTACTTCTGGATTTTATCACTAAAACGTAAGTCATAGTTCACACAACAGAGGTGAAACACTAGCCAAAAAAAATAATAATAATAATAAATAAACATGTTAGAAATCAAGCATAATATTTGGTGGCCGAGAAAGCTTAACATGCTGCAATTTCAGAAAACAAGTGCAATTACAAAAGACGCCAGCAAATTAAGAAAAGATCTTCATCTATTTGCAAATCCTCACATTGCAAACACATTGAAAAACGCACTGCATTTTACCACAATGCAAACAAATTAACAAAATGTGGTGCCTTTTTTCACAATGCAAACAATTTATGAAAGCGCGTTTTTGTAAATTGTTAGCATTGTAAGAAAATGCAGCAAGTTTTCGTAAATTGTTTGTATTGTCAGAAAAAGCAGCACGTTTTCTTAAATTGTTTGCATTGTCAGAAAAAGCAGCACGTTTTCGTGAATTGTTTGCGTTGTGAAAAAATGCAGCACGTTTTTGTAAATTGTTTGCATTGTCAGAAAATGCAGCACGTTTTCGTAAATTGTTTGCGTTGTGAGAAAATGCAGCACGTTTTTGTAAATTGATTGCGTTGTGAGAAAATGCAGCACGTTTTTGTAAATTGTTTGCATTGTGAGAATGCAGCACATTTCCGTAAATTATTTGCGTTGTGAGAAAATGCAGCATGTTTTCGTAAATTGTTTGCGTTGTGAGAAAATGCAGCACGTTTTCGTAAGTTGTTTGCGTTGTGAGAAAATGCAGCATGTTTTCGTAAATTGTTTGCGTTGTGAGAAAATGCAGCACGTTTTCGTAAATTGTTTGCGTTGTGAGAAAATGCAGCACGTTTTCGTAAATTATTTGCGTTGTGAGAAAATGCAGCACATTTTTGTAAATTGTTTGCGTTGTGAGAATGCAGCACATTTCCGTAAATTGTTTGCGTTGTGAGAAAATGCAGCATGTTTTCGTAAATTGTTTGCGTTGTGAGAAAATGCAGCACGTTTTCGTAAGTTGTTTGCGTTGTGAGAAAATGCAGCATGTTTTCGTAAATTGTTTGCGTTGTGAGAAAATGCAGCACGTTTTCGTAAATTGTTTGCGTTGTGAGAAAATGCAGCACGTTTTCGTAAATTATTTGCGTTGTGAGAAAATGCAGCACATTTTTGTAAATTGTTTGCGTTGTGAGAATGCAGCACATTTCCGTAAATTGTTTGCGTTGTGAGAAAATGCAGCATGTTTTCGTAAAATGTTTGCGTTGTGAGAAAATGCAGCACGTTTTCGTAAGTTGTTTGCGTTGTGAGAAAATGCAGCACGTTTTCGTAAATTGTTTGCGTTGTGAGAAAATGCAGCACGTTTTCTTAAATTGTTTGCGTTGTGAGAAAATGCAGCACGTTTTCTTAAATTGTTTGCGTTGTGAGAAAATGCAGCACGTTTTCGTAAATTATTTGCGTTGTGAGAAAATGCAGCACATTTTTGTAAATTGTTTGCGTTGTGAGAATGCAGCACATTTCCGTAAATTGTTTGCGTTGTGAGAAAATGCAGCACATTTTCATGATTTGTTTGCATTGTCATAAAATGCAGCGTGTTTTCGTAAATCGTTGGCATATGGAGAAAATACAGCACATTTTAATTTAGAGGATTAGCAGCACATGTGCTGTCAAATGGATGAAGATCATTTCTCAATTTGCTGGTTATTTGCAGTTGCATGTGTTTTCTTAAATTGCAGCACGTTAAGCTCTCTCGGCCACCGTAATAATATGGTTATAAAACAAAGATGGTATTTACAAGTAGAGGCAGAAATTCTCAAAATAAGGAGATTGCTCTCACCCTTGTTTCACTGAAGAGGACAAAAACTAAAATAGATTTGACATTTACAAATTTAAACGAGTCCAGAAAGAAAAAAAAGGACAAAAAAAAAATCCTCTGCCCGTGTGTTGATGTGATAAAGTGTTGTGTCTATCCTGATGTTCGTTTCCCAAACCGTATCATCCGAGCTGGAGCACCACAAAAAGTCACTGCCACTTTGAGGGAGAATGGAGTTTGTGGGCCCTAATAAGGGACTGTAGCAGCAGGTTTTGCTGATAAGCCTTCAAAAAATCCTGTGCACTGCTTGACACTCTTAGTTAGAGTTGCAGGCTTTCCCTTGGCATCAGCTCAGAGGAAATAAATGATCATCTGCAGCACACTAATATGCAGAAGCTGCATCAATCTCTCATTGTCAGTAGTGGTTCTTGCATCTCCATTAATTCCAGTATTCTTTGTCCGATCTTGCTGTGATGGTACAAAAAATGGCACCACATATTAGAGTTCAGGTGACACCTTGCTGACAAAAGTAATCCTAGATGAGCTTTCTGATTGCGTCCATGTTTGTCCATTATCTCCAATAAGTGAGAAAGAAAAGCGGGTGTACCAAGAATAGTTTCATCACACTGAAACACCACAGCGCGCACAGAACCACTTGCGGAAAAACTCAAAATACAACATCTTTTTTGTATGGTACAGAGGCAGCAGCAGCAGGTCTGATCTGGGAGCAGCTATACAGTTTGTGAGGCTGTAAGATGGTCGAGGTGAAGAATTGAGAGCAGAGACAGCAGCAGAAGAACAGTCCAGTCCACCAGACAGACAGCACTAGTCGAGCTCCGAGTGATTGCATTAAAGCTACTGGGGTCATTCAGCTGCTGATCCTGTGGAGAAAGGTCATATTTTGAATTTCAGGCATTCTGTTCTGTGCAATGTCATTTTTTGATTCTTATAGATGTTTTATCAGAAAAAAAGTGATATGTCAAGCAAAAAGAAAGCTACTTTTTTCACTTATAGATGTTTCTAATGCTTTGCTTATTACGGAAGCCCACTTAAGCTATTCTACTACTTTTTCTCAAAATGATCACTTTCTAGCTTACAATTTGCAACTGACATTTGGGACTTTTTTCTTCTGACTGTGATGGATAATATGCAGCATATCTCTTCATTTTAAATCGCATAGGTTTTGTTTGTGTCGTCCACACTACTCCGGCATCGTTGATCCAGTTTAGGACTTCTGGTGTTCTGTTTCATTATAGATTAACTGAAACACAAACTATTAAAAACAAAGTCACGGTTATCCACGCTCTTTGACTGGTATTACAATACTTTGTATAGTAAAAGCGTATACACAATTAACGTAAATGGTCATGTATCGTGTTAGAATGACTTTACACATTGAAGTCTAATACTTTCATGTGCATTTTTTTTTCCGTATTTTTGTATCCGAAAAAAAATTGCCACTTAGACAAACCTTGCACACTGAGTCCAATGTGTTTTAATTAATCCATTCTGAAAAAAAAAATGCATTTTTAAATCAATTGGAGCAGTGTTGCTTTGTTCTCTTTTCTTCTCCAAAACAGAAAGAGGTATAGACTACATATTGTGTTCATCCAATACTGCATAGAGAGGAAGGAGACTTCAGCTCATTATCAAAGAGCTGCGCTGGATTATCCTGAATGCAAAGTGTAACGGTCAATATGGCGAAGAAAGCCCCGCCTACTAATAGAGGAGCCAATCCTCGATTGCTTGCTGACGATTCTTCTGGGGAGGGGCTGGGACCAGACGTGAGTTTCTGCAGATTTTGTCTGATTCTATTGTTTAGAAATGAAACTAAAGACAGTTGTTGTTTTTATTTTATAGTTGTTTCCTAATATGAAATGACATTGTAAACTTGGCAAATTTTGGAGAGTTTGATGTTTCCCCATTCAAACAGAATGCCTGAGCATACTGGCCGAGAGGCATTTCAAAAATAGCTGCTGAGTGAAATGACTTGCCTTAGAGCAGGGGTTCTCAACCTTTTTCACTTCGGGGCCCACTTCTTTCTCCAATCAATTTTTGAAAGCCCATCTCTCTGACATTTTCTTTAAAATGTTTGTTTGAAATGTATATATACATTATTTTCTATTATAAGCATTTTAGAAAAAAATATTATTTTTGTTTAAATTTAATAATATATAAAACTAAAATTATAAAATATATTATATATTAAAAAAAATTTTTTAAACACAAATTCAAAGAGAACCACAGGTCAACATGGAGATTGCAAAAGACCAGCTTCTGCTTGAAACTGGACTGAATATCTACAATTAAATATGTACAGTACGATTGAAAAATATACAAACAAGTAAAATACAGTAAAACACCCTAAATCTGTTGAAACGTGTCGATATGATGGCGGTTGAGTTTGTAGCTGGATATTATTGGGAGATCACTGACAGGATCAGTGAACAGCTCCGCCAGAACCTGTCTGATGCAAATTTATTTGACATTCTAATGCAGAAACAACACTGAGCCTCGCTAGATCCTCCTGTATGCGCGTCCATTATAAAACACTCATAGGACATTCATTTGGACAACTATGTGGATATATTAAATAGTTCACACAAAAATACACAAGGAGAGACTTTCACTTCATGCAGTAATGAACAGACTTGCATGTACTAGTTGCAGACCCGATCATGAGACTTTGCGCCGAGTTTGAATCAATCAGAGAACTAGAGAAAGTGCTTTACTTCGATCATTTTAATATAGCATATTAATAATAAAATCCAAAATTTATAGTACAATATTGAGAGTTAATTTTAAGCGATCCCGCAGCCCACCTGCAGGATCGCTGAGGCCTGCTAGTGTCAAAACAGCTCTCAAAGTACTTTTTCGGATGCGAAAACAAAATGAAACCCAGTTAGAATGTATACTATAATACACAAGAGCTTCAGAGGCAGTGTGTCAATACGATTAACACAACATGAGGTCGAATAAGATTTTTAACATGTGAAAAATACGGACGGAATTTACTGATCCAGTGTGCAATAACCTTTAGACTGTATATTGTGAATAGTGTGAAAAATGTAGCGTAAACGGCACCCCAGAAAGTCACAGATTTGAAAAATTTGCAATTGTAAGAAATAAGGTCCCAATTGTGTTGTTTTATAATCGATCTAATTTCTATTACTGTGATTGTATGTTAGTTAAGTTTGTAATTGTGAGAATAACAACATTGTTTTAATTAAGTAAAAAACAAAAAAAAACTCATGCTAAATTTTTATCCCATATTATAATGTGAGCATAAAGTACAGTGGAAATCTCTCAATGCGTAAAAAACAACAACAACATAAAGAAGAAATACATTAAATCTGTGACTAAAGTTATGTAATATAATATAATATAATATAATATAATATAATATAACATAATATAATATAATATAATATAATATAATATAATATAATATAATATAATATAATATAATATAATATCGGATAATATCAGATAATATTCATATAATGTAATACAATTTATATAATATAATATAATTAATATAATGTAATATTCATATAATAAAATATAATATCAGATAATAAATATAATATAATATAATATAATATAATATAATATAATATAATATAATATAATATAATATAATATAATATCGGATAATATCAGATAATATTCATATAATGTAATACAATTTATATAATATAATATAATTAATATAATGTAATATTCATATAATAAAATATAATATCAGATAATAAATATAATATAATATAATATAATATAATATAATATAATATAATATAATATAATATAATATAATATAATATAATATAATATAATATAATATAATATAATAAAATAAAATAAAATAAAATATGGACTTCCATACTGTTGTGTACACATATGGCATGTCTTGCATTCAAAAAAGGCTTGATTACTTAGACACAAAAATGTACAGCAAGCATCTTGTTCAAACAGTCCATAAATGACTGTAGGAATATAGGTGGCCTAAGTGGAAATGTATGACACTTACCACACAAAGAACGTCCAGAGTAACATTGCTTTTCAGTTTCTGAGCCTGTAAAGAAAGAGAAAAAGAGGCAGACTGAAAAGTACAGACTGAAAAGTCAATTACTTGCAAGAAGCTCTTCAAGGTTTTGTGTTATAAACCATTTCTCAGACTGAAGCATTTCCATCTAGCAGCCCTCTAAAGCAAGTTCAGTGTGATCTGAATCGAGCGCAGCCTCAATAAAGCACTGTAATTCACCACAGCAAATAGAGGTCATGCGATTCTGGCCTGAAAGAGAGGTCTTTCTGACTGAGATGTAATGTTATGATAATGAGCCCTATAACCCACATGCAAACACCACACGTTTACACCGCTGTGGCCGACTGGGCTCTCTTGGGTCCTGCTTCTTTTTAAAACAATGTGTGTTTCATTGTGTGCAGGAGGTCAGTGTGTTTGCATCAATATGTGACACACCAATATATTTTAATACTGCGTTCTGCTATCCAGTTCCTCACTCTCTCTCACACACACACACACACACACAAACACACACGCAGAGGTTTGTTGAAACGATAAAGTGATTCCTCTGAGAATCTGGAATATAATAACGGTACTGCACAATGGAGAGAGAACGAGAGCTAATTCTTGCGAAAAGCATTGTGGGATAAAATGATTAATAGCCTTCCTGGAAGTCTATCTGACAAAAGAAACTGTGTCTACTAATAAATCATGATATTGTTATTACTGCAATATGATGAATTGTTGCGCTGTATCTGCAGGAGAGGATCTGGCGCTCTGTATTTGGGGTTTGTTATGAGCTGCAGATTTAGAAAAAAGTTAAACACAAGTTCAGTTTCATGAAGAATGCCTGTGAGGTTGTTGTTTCTTAGAAAATAAAATAACTCATTTTGACCCATGACGAGATTTGATGTTTGGATTTTTGAAGAAACATTTATACATTAAGGGCCCTATCATACACCCAGAGCAATTAGGCGCAAGGCATGTTTGGCGTGATTTGTTGCTATTTTCAGACCAGCACAACGGTAATATTCACGTTTTGCACCAAGCTGTTTAAATTGCAAATCCATTTGTGCCACTTTGTGGACTCATGGGTGTGCTGGTCTAAAAAAGGAGGTGTGTTAAGGCGCATTGTTGGCGCGTTGCTATTTTGAGAAACCTAAAAGTGACTGCGCCACTGCCTAACTAAAATCTGTACAGGATGTACAGCAATACACAAATATCTTTACATATGAAAACAATTGTTGGATTAAAATGTTACAAAAATTATTATTTTATATAACCAATGCCTTCATGCCTACATGTTAGGGGGCTTTTTGCAGTTTATTCATGACAATTTGCATTTGTATAATGTTATTATTATTAGAAATAATATTAATTATATGCACATTTATGTTTGTTTAAATAAAAACAGTTTAGATTTGTCCACCTGTCGGGTTTGGGATCACCATATGGGGCATAAGTATAGGATGTGTCTTTGGATATAACTCTTTTAACTCTATTTTGACCTCACTTCGTTATTATTGCTCATTTATTCGTTTGCTGGAAATTAGAACTTAATTTAGAAATACTTTTGAAACAAATCGTTGCGCTAAACAAACAAAATTACAAAATTAAATATATAAGCTAATGAATGTCTTCAATTGAGTGAGTTTCCACAATTTTCTTGCTCCACGAAAGTAAAGGAGTAAAGTAAAGAGAAAGTAAAGTGGCCGAATGGAGGAGGCTTGTTCTTTATCCTCAGGCTGCAGATGGTCTGTTTAACTGTTTTCTCACTAGTGAAACGTTCGATTTTTCCACTTACAAAGTTCGCTATGTAAACAGCAAATGCGCCATGGTGCGACAAAACCGACTCTTATAAGCAACGGGAGAGAAGACTCTGATTGGTTTAATAGATGTTATGCTCAAAACACACCCATAAGTCATTAAGAGAATAAGAACAACCCTGTTAGACCATGCGCTGGGGCGCAGAGTGTATTTTCCCATCCTTAAAATAGCAAAAGAGGATTCCGACATGTCCTTAATGCTGTTGCATCATGTGCTTTAGACTTTGTGCTCAGATCATTAAAAAGAGCCCAAATTCTTTAGTTTGATCAATGTTGAAATTGTGCTATTTAGACAACAAAATTTGTTGTGGGTCTTTACAAAATCATAAAACGCTGTGAGAAACAATTTTTAAAAATAATATTTTTAAATATTAACTTGACTGGCTCAAAGCATATGGCACATATTTTGTTTTATTAAAATAAATGTTTCATATAATTAAATGCATGTTTTTTTTCTCTAATATAATTTCATAATTTGTATTATTATTATTATTATTATTATTATTATTATTATTATTATTATCATAATCATTATCATCATCATCATCATTATTATTATTATTATTATTATTATTATCATCATTATTATTTGAACAAAAAGTATTAGCATTAGAATGAAAAAAAAAACTTGTATCAATACTTTTTTCAATCTTTTTTTTTGTAATGTATTTTGTATGGATGGACTTTATAAAGGTTTATAGCAGCTTTATATCTGTATTTAATGTCAGGAGTACATGGAATATATATTAAAAAAAAAACATTGCTTCAGATATACTTTAATCAAAACAGTTTTAATTAATATTGGGTAATTATGTGTATTTATTGGCACATTTATTGTGTCACAGGACAATGGTGCCAGTGCGCTCACCCCACTAGCTGTAGCTCGGTGGATGGGATAATTAGGAGGCCATGATGGAGGGAATTTGGCCAGGACACTGGGGTTACACCCCTACTCTTTACAAGAAGTGCCATGGGATTTTTAATGACCACAGAGAGTCAGGACTTCAGTTTAACGTCTCATCTGAAAGACAGCGCTCACTGACAGTGTAGTGTCCCCTTCACTATACTGGGCCATTAGGATACACACAGACCACAGGTTGAGCGCCCCCTGCTGGCATCACTAGCACCAATTCCAACAGCAACCTAGTTTTACTATGTGGTCTCCCATCCAGCTACTAACCAGGCTCAGAACTGCTTAGCTTCAATGAGTTACTGGCCTTCGGCTGGAGGGTGATATGGCTGTGGCTATGAATGAAATTCATTTAATGACAATAAAAAAACACTTTTCTTGTAGTTCAATAAAAGTGAATGTAAAATGCCTAACAATTACAGCACCTTTAAGTATGAAGCTTATACTTTCGTTGAACCGTAGACTTGCACATCACTGTAATCACTTTCCATTTTCATAACAATGGCTGGAACGCAATTATGTTCAATTGACAGCTTCAGACTATATTTAACCAGAAATATCCCTTTAAAGATCTGCATCTGTGTGTATGCCAGTCATTTTAGAGCCGTCACATGTGCCAGGCTTGAACTCAGATGTGAAGATATGTTTCCCTAATGGGTGGGTTTATCCTGCTTAAGGGTGTTCCTCGTGTTAATATACCAGCCAATTAGCAGTGACATGACAGCTCTGGCAGTTTGATGTATCTCATTTCTGCCCAGAGGCTCTATGTGTGTGTGTTATCACTGCGGCAGCCCAAACCCATCAATCAAAAGTAAGCCCTCGTCTCACTCCGAGCCTCCAAAAATGAAAGTCATCCTATGCCAAGCAAAGCCTGAAAGCATCCAAACAAGCTGCCGGCTGTTTGTAAAGTCGACGCAGGCTGTGTATCTTCAACTATCTGTGTGGGCCAGCAGCGTCATGTGTGTTTGATTGACAGCTGTCTTTTACTATTAGATAGAGTCAATATGGTGATTTAAATGGCGGTAATATTTGATGTCCGGGAGATATTTTACACTGCTGTTTTTTTTATTAGACTTTGCTGTCTTTCAACACTGATGGAAAACTTTAGGATGCTTGTCTAACTTCTGTACCTGCAGGCTTCCACAGAAGCTGTAGAGATGGTCTGCATTGCTGTCGAGGTCATTGGTGAGTGTTGGGTCATCCAGGGCGTTGGATGTCCTGTCGCGTCCTTTTGGGGGGGTGTAGGGGTCAGCTGGAGTGGACATGATGGGTGGTTGGGGTTGCCACACTCCTACATCTGTGCCATTGCCAAATGCCTGGATGGCATTGCCTGAGTAATGCAGAAATGAAAAGAAACTGTTTTTAAAATCTATGATTTTCCTCAAATTTTCAAATAATGACTTAAATCTAACACCCTAGGAAAAGTTTAATTTAAATTTAAAGGCAAATTATAGGATTGGACATTGAACACAGTTCAAAGATACAGCTTCATACAAGTTTTATCTTTTGAATCTTTTTGGCTCGAGACTTCTGGTCTCATTCACTTCCATTCATTTTAGATATTAAAAACAGCTCATTCTGCTGCTTGATGTTGCAAGCTGACATTTTCCTATTATATGACTCTGCTTTGTTTGTATAATAATGCAAACACTTGTTTGTAGAGCAAGTAGTTTGACCGTTTTCTGTCGTTTATCATTCCTAGTCATTTCTCTCAAAGAGAGCTGAATTGTAAGTTTTAAAACAATCGCAAAAACGAGTGCACTTCAACATTGAAGAATAAAGTCAATGTCCAGTTTTCTTGAAGCTTATTTCATCCTTGTTAAAACACAGCTAAAAAACTATAGAGCCACAAAATGCCCAAACAGCATTGTGGCTCAGTGTGGTTAGCACTGTCGCCTCACAGCAAGATTCGTCATAGCTGGTTCGAATCCTGGCTGGGCCAGTTGGCATTTCTGTGTGGAGTTTGTATGTTCTCCATGTTCACGTAGGTTTCCTCCGGGGGTTCCAGTTTCGCCCACAATCAAAATACATGCAGTTTTGGTGAATTGGATAAACTAAATTATGGCTGTAGTATATCTGTGTGAGAATGAGCGTGTGTATGGGTGTTTCCCTGTACCGGGTTGCAGCTGGAAGGCCATCTGCTGCACAAAATACACACTGGAATAGTTTGTGGTTCATTTCTCTGTGGTGACCCCTGATAAATAAGGGACTAAGCCAAAGGTAAATAAATGAATCGAAATTGTAGTGAAATTTAAACCACACTGAACTGAACTAAACTGAACTTCCACTCTGAAAACTGGACTGACACCGTTTTAATTTACTAGAACATCTATGTTACACAATATACATGGTGAAAACGCTATGGAAATAGAGATTATTTAAATTAAATTGAATTGAATTGAACTAAACATGCCAATTTATTTTCAAAAATATATATTAAAATCCCTATGATGCAGTTATAAAGAATTTCCTGTGTGAATGTCAAATGTTTCATCTTTTGTTATCAGCACCTGGTTTGATATTAAGAGCTCTTCATCTCTTCTAAGTGTGTTAAAGAGCCACTTAAAAAGCCAGTGTGTTCAAGTCTAAGACCTTCACTTACTCAGTAGTTTCTGGGACCTTTCCGGTGGTAAAACAGGAAGGCCATTATGACTCAACTGTCTTTTTTTAAATGACTTCGTTCTGAAGAGCACTTTTGACTTAGGAGTCTGTTATTTACATCATGCCGCAGCAGGATAAAGGGCAAGTGGGAGATTATTGATGGGTACTTGGTTAAAGAAAAAGCTGTGTGTATATTAAGTATCATCTATTGACAGAGAAGAGGGTAGGCTGACCTTATTATTGAGTGAGTGTTGAGTTTTTCTTAAAGCCAGAGCAGCAGACTCATTTTTCCTAGGGTTTAAAGGACTTTTAAAGCTTCTTTGTGTGCTTACTTTACTGTATTATTGCTTCTTATGACTATTACATTGCTCTCATAAGAACCAGTGTGTGTAATATTCTACACTGCCTGACAGGATTCTTGTTGATCCCAGTTGTAAGAGTACAAATAATAACTTGACTTCTAGTTGATCATTTGGAGAAGTGGCAGAAGGTTGATGCAGAGTGGATGGCAGCATCAACAGCCTGAGGTATCAAGACATTTGTGCTGCCAATTACATTGCAAACCACAGGAGAGGGCAAATTCTTCAGCAGGGTAGCGCTCCTTCTTATACTTCAGTCTCCACATCAAAGTTCCTCAAAGCAAAGATGGTCAAGCTGGCTCCAGGATTGGCCAACCCAGTCACCAGATATATGAACATTATTGAGCATGTCTAGGGTAAGATGGAGGAGGAGGCATTGAAGATGAATCCTAATAATCTTGTTGAACTCTGGGAGTCCTGCAAGAACACTTTCTTTGCCATTCCAGATGACTTTATTAATGTTATTTGAATCATTGCAGAGATGTATGGATGCAGTCCTCCAAACTCATGGGAGTCATACACAATATTTTTATTTTAATTATTAAATAATTCTTTTTCCACTGCACCATGACTTTTTATTCTATCCTGTACATTATTTCTGTTAAGTGACAAGATTTTTGTCTAAGCAAAGTCAGACCTTATTGTCCTAATTTAATAATTAAAAATCAAAGCCTAAAGGAAATACTGCTAATAGAAAAAAAAAAAAAATAGAGCAATAGAAACAGAACTAAATATCAGACCGTTTTAGCTAAATATTTATGTTTGAAGAAAGAAAGGTATGGACCGACATGTAAATGAACAAAAGATAAACAATCCCTTTCTGAATCTCAGATGCAGAAAAGCTAGTTCATGCTTTTATGACCTCTAGGCTGGATTACTTTATTGCTCTGTTTGCTGGTTGCCCAACGTCCTCTATTAACAAACGTCAGCAAGTACAAAATGAAGCTGCCAAAGTTCTTACCAGGTCTAGTTAGGTCTGCCTGTTAAGTTTCATATTAATTTTAAAATAAAGCCATAAAGCTTTAAATAATCTAGCTCCTATTTATCTAACCAACCATCTGTCTTGCTACAATCCGGCCCGCTCAAAACTCAGGACTTCTCGTAGTACCTCAAACAGCAAAGTTGAGTAAAGGAAGTCGAGCCTTCTCATTTATTGCTCCTAAACTCTGGAATAGCCTTCCTGATAACGTCAGAGGCTCAGACACACTCTCGCAGTTCAAAACTACATTAAAGACCTATCTTTTTAGCTAAGCATACACTCAATGCATCACTTAGTGGTATGATGCATGAATGTGCCCTACACAGGTTTTTGCTTCTCGTTTATATACACTATGAACAGCAGCTATGATAATTATTCTATTTATTCTCTATGTCTACCTGGGGATACTCATCCCGAGGCCCTCAGATTATGAAGCACCACTGATTTAATCCAAGGCCAGCGACGAGATGATCCCAAGGTTTCCATAATCCTGGACCAGGCCGTATCCTGAGCACCTGCTGTGGTTTTCATGAGGAGTGAAGAGCATGAGACTGACTCTGTGGACAGACGCGTCTCGCTGACGTCCAGCTTCTCCAGTGCCTGGACTGCACGTTTGGACATAGGAGAAATGGTTGTGCCCAACTGAGCCTGGTTTCTCTAGAGGTTTTTTAATTCTTCACTTTCGCCAATTGGTGAAGTTTTTTCCTCATCGCGGTCGCCACTGGCTTGCAGGTTCGGGATCTGTAGAGCTGCGCATCGATGGATTTGCTCTTCAGTGTTTGGATAGTCAGTACTAATTATTAAACCACACTGAACTGAGTTAAACTAATCTAAACCTAAACACTGAAAACCGAACTGACGCTGTTTCAATTTACTATGAACTCCTATGTGAAGCTGCTTTGACACAATCTACATTGTAAAAGCTCTATACAAATAAAGGTGAATTGAAATTGAATTGAATGAGAGATGTTCCCATGCACTCCGATGGAGTGTAAAAAAAGCCCTGCAATGACTACTAACTGAACATAAACAAAAACTGATTTATATCAAAACAAGTGATGTGTCCATTAGCATAAATGGATCATAATAGACCCACTGCTGTCTATAATGTCAGTAATGGGCCCTTCGTCATATACAAATGACGACAGGTTCATTACAATCTAGAACGAGCCAAAAAAAATAAAAACTTTACCTCAATGACTTCTTGCTAGACATACAGTAAATTCTCTCTCCCTTCATCCTTTCCTTGTTATACGTAAACACACAGATGAGGACTTGTCAGATATGAGGTGTGGATGCGCCATACTTCTATATCATCCGGGTTGTCATCCTAAAGGCCATTGTCTCATGTAGACAAATGCTTCCTCTCTTCTGTTCCCTGTCTTTCTCTCTGCATCCAGTTCATCTAAATGGGTGTTTTTAAATAACCCCCTGACAAAATAACGCATGCTTTCCCCCGCTCTTCCAGACCCATGGACACCTGAGTAATGCTTTATTGCCTTTTTATGTCAATCCCCCCTTCTCAGCCATTCCATTTAAGAGGGATTTCTCTGTCTCTCGGCCGTCAGACTGCCCTGAACCGTACAGCAAAACACAAATCGCAGAGATCAGATTTACTGGTGCAGACTGTGAATGATCACGCAGAAGCAACCGAGCGGAATTCAGCTTTAGAGTCAATCTTAATGGCCAAATTCTGTCAGTCAGTGCAGGACGCCATGTAGGCAATGACACGCAGAAGCAGCTGTGAATGAAGATTACTCACGGAGACAACGGTTGTTGGTGAAAAACTCGGTGAACTTGTCACACTCTGCTTTTCCGTTTCCGCTGTTACTACAGTCACACCAAGGTGACACGCTGATGCCAGGTGCGCGGAGGTAGTTCGGGGTCATCACCGTACCTGTGAGTGAAAATATATATGTTAAAGTGTGATGAAAACAGTCAGTTTCTGAGGCAAACATTACATTATTATACAGTGCCCTTATTGTGTTTACAAGTTTTCACATTGTATAGGGGAGAGCGGGGCACAAAGTAACACATTTTGGTTTTGGCCAAATAATAAACAAAGTACTGGGGTTAGACAAACCATATTTCTTTACAAATAACACACAAGCCTCTCCTACAAATGAGCACTGGAATTATGATCGCCGGACCTACGTATGGTTTCTGTGCAGTATTGCCAAAAGTGCCAGGAGTAAAAATGTTACAATTTACCCCACCCACGGGGCAAGTTGTAACAGACACAGGGTTAGTTGTAACACATGCATTTAAGGGCAGATTTCACACAATTAATTTAAATTCAGTTTACTTTAAACAGTAGCTATATTTCCCCAGTAACTGGCTCATTTCTTTTTTTTTTTTGTTCTACATAGCACAGTATGTTTTTTGTATTTATTTGTTTATTGGATAAACACATTTGAATCTATTTGTATTATTATCCATTATCCATTATTATACAATGCATTTATTTGCATTATCGGCAATAAAATATATATTTTTTTCTATTAAAACAATATTTTCTATAAAAAAAATCATTTTTATTTAAATAGGTCCCAACATTACACTCAAAATCCAAAAAAATTATTTTGTTAAAATTATAATTGATGTCCAACAGTGTGTGGCTTAATTGTAACACCCTGTTACAACTAACCCCGCTGTGTCATGTTTTCCTCAAAACTGGCTAGCAGTAACTGTGTGTTTTACATCTTTCAAAATGGTTTCATCTTTTAGCCTAGAAGACGGTGATTACAACAATATAAGATTTTACTAACATACTTTCACAGATTTTTTTAAAATAAAAAAATATCGACTATAATAAAAAATACTTTTATGCTGCAAAAATGGTTTCTCCTGTGTTTCTCATCCAAATTTAGCCGAATTGACTGCTGACACTGTGGTGAAAACCTCGGAAGCATGCCATGGTTAACCCTGAGCAAATACCTTAAAACTCTGTTACAATTTAACCCTGTGTTACTTTGTGCCCCGCACTCCCCTACTCAAAAAAAAAAGAAAAAGAAAAGATGGTTCTTTAAAGGTTTTTCTTGTACATTGTAATAGTTATTGTGATACTGTTTACAACCGTATTGTCCTTAAGAATCCTTTTATGCTGTAATGGTTCTTTATTTCCCGCCTTTTTGTTTTTCAAATCTGTAACTGACAACGCACCTGCAACTCATTAGTTGGCAGTGTCTGAAATTGCATACTTCCAGACTACAGTATGTTGTTGGTTAAAAACTGTATGCGACTTGAGTAATATGTCTAAATTTTTAGAATTTGAAAAACAGTATGTGATAAGCACACCGATGACCTACAACTTCCAGTGAGATTCTGAAATGCGCATCCAATGAATGCTATGCTATCCCATGATGCCGCGCGAGAGAATGAAATGGGAGTCATGTAGCGCAACTGATGCGGGTTGGTCACATTATAATTACAAATGGCAAATGTACACTACCTGAAAAAAGTCTAGTCACCTAAATTTTAACAACAAATAATACCTTGACTTCTAGCTGATCATTTGGTATCAGAAGTGGCTTATATAATAGGAAAATGCCTCTAAATTATGCTTATTTTACCAAAATAAAATATGATCATGCCTTGATTTTTATTAATTAAATTAGTAAGGTCTAACTTTGCATATAAAAAGTCTTGTCATTAAACAGAAATAATGTACAATATAGAATATGAAGTCATGATGCAGTGGAAAAATAATTAATACGAGTCGTACACTTTATCAAGATTTTTTGGGTTCATTTTCAATGCCTTCTACTTCATCTTATCTCAGACATGCTCAAAAATGTTAATTTCTGGCGACTGGGCTGGCCAATCCTGGAGCATCTTGACCTTCTTTGCTTTCAGGAACTTTGATGTAGAGGCTGAAGTATTAGAAGGAGAGCTATCCTGCTGAAGAATTTGCCCTCTCCTGTGCTTTGTAATGTAATGGGCTGTTGATGTTGCCATTCACTCTGCAGATCTCTCGCACGCTTCCATTCTGAATGTAACCCCAAAACATTTTTCCTTCACCAAACTTGACTGATTATGTGAGAATCTTGGCTCTATGAGGGTTCCAATAGGACATTTGCAGTATTTGTAATGATTTGGATGCAGTTCAACAGATGGTTCATCTGAAAAATGTACCCGCTGCCACTTTTCTGAATGATCAACTGAAAGTTATTATGTGTTGCTTTTACAACTGGGATCGACAACAAGACTTGTCAGAAAGTGTAGTATGTCCGAGTTCCATTTATACTACTTGCATTCATACTATATAGGACATACTTTTCTAACAGTTGAGTAGTAAGTTCATATTCAAATGTACTACCTACTTGAGGAGTAGGCAATTTCAAACTCAGCCCAGATTTTCTGGAGCTCAAGCATCAACACAGACTGTCAGCACTCTCTCAATTGGGGAGTTGTTTCTTAAAATGTTTATACTTTTTAACTTTCAAAATATGTTAAAAAATCATGTTTCCTACCAAGATTTAGTTTTCTTTATTTATTTTTTTTACAGAACATAACCAGTTCTGTTCACGTGAGGTTACTTTATCTTCATTAGGTAAGTGACAATTTTTTTTTTTTCACCCAAATGTTACTTATGTTTATGCATAGAAAAAGTGAACAAAAATATAACATACTGCATTATATATATTTTTACAGTAACTGTATGACATGGCATGAATTTTTGATACTTTTATCCACTATAAACTAATAAACAATTGATAGAGGCACACTTCAAACTCATTTGTGTATTTGAGATCTTACAGTATATCATCTGCAGAGAGCACTCAATGGTACTCAATTTTACTGAAATACTCAAGACATAAAGGTGCAAGAGGATTAGGAAGACATTTTACAGGAACTTGGTCTGCATTGTGTGTGTATATATGTCAAATTATTATTTTTTTTATTTGTTTGCTTGTTTTTTTTACTTAATTTATTTATTAATGTTTAATGTCAATTGTCATTTATTAATGTGTTCAGCTGATAAGTGTTATATGAGAACAATCAGTTTTATTACAAGTTCACATCAATAAAAAAATTTAAAAAACACCACAGTGACACCCAATACGAGAATTCATTAAATCAACATTAGAATTATTACAAATACTTTAAGGTCTATTATATCATTTTGAAAGCAAGGTTGATTTGATTTTTTTTTATATATTGAAGAGAATATTATAGACTTAAAACAATTCATAATCAACAAAAATATGTACCTATCTATATACACTAAAAATATCAAATTAAATTTAGCAGGTTTGAAATGGAGTGGGATGAAGTGTAATTATTATTTTCCCCATGCCATTGCCACATCTTTCCACATCATTCGTCTGTCACAAATTTCTACTTTTACATATTTCTTATTTCTTTTTTCATCCTTTTTTACATCTTTTACATATACAGTAGAAGTCAGAATTATTAGCCCCCTTTAAAATTTTGTTCTTTTTAAATATTTCCCAAATTATGTTTTAACACAGCAAAGAAATGTTCACAGTATGTCTAATAATATTTTTTTTTTTCGAAGAAAGTCTTATTTATTTTATTTCGGCTAGAATAAAAGCAGTTTTTATTTTTTTTAAAAACATTTTAAGGTCAAAATTTTTAGCCCCTTTGGTCACACTGATGGTCCGTTTGTTTAATTTAAGTTATATTGCATCTACATGCCAACGAATTCTTATTAGAATTTAAGTAGACTGTTGGGTTGGGGTTAGGGTTAGTGTAAGTTGACATGTACATGCTAAGTTTCTTATAGTCAGTTAAATGTATGTTGAAGGAGCAGTATCAACAGATGTTAAGAAAACAGTCTACTAATACTCAAATGGACCATCAAAATACAGTGTTACCACGCTTTTAAGCTATTTTTTTTTGATAGTCTACAGAACAAGCCACTGTTATACAATAATTTGCCTAATTACTCTAACCTGCCTAGTTAACCTAATTAACCTAGTTAAGCTTTTATATGTCACTTTAAGCTGTATAGAAGAATCTTGAAAAATAACTAGTCAAATATTATTTACTGTCATCATGACAAAGATAAAATAAATCAGTTATTAGAAATGAGTTATTAAAACTATTATGTTTAGAAATGTGTTGAAAAAATCTGCTCTCTGTTAAACAGAAATTAGGAAAAAAAAAAAAAAAAAAGAGGGCTAATAATTCTGACTTCGACTGTACATTTAACTCATTATGGGTAAATTTCCTTATCTTTATGGACCCTTAGAAAAAATGTGTTTATTTACCACCTAAAGGGGGGTCTGCTAATGTTACAAGCCAAAAAACTCTAATATGATAGTGTTTAAAATCCAATTTTTACAATTAATTTCTGTAATGACATCTATAACTGCACAGTTGACTCTTTACACAATAAACAACCCTAACACTTTACCCATATCCCACTTCACCAGCAGAAAGTGTTTTGAAATACATGAAAATTTTACATAGAAGTGATACTGTATTTTCAAAAGTACAGTGGTAATGACATTCTCATGTCATTATACTGCACTGACAATTGTTTTTCCTAAGATGTATGACACACACACACAATTTCTTATCCACTTACCAATGAGCCCTGAATATGCCAGCAGACAGTCAGCATAGTTTTCCTTCAGACACCCTGATATCGAGCGGGCCTCAGGTTGACAGTTAGTGAGGAAGTCAGCTAAACGAGATCTGCAAAAAAATTAAGCAGGAATGAACACGATTCCATAAAGTACATCTCATTAAAAAGACTCAGCATAAAGGTGACAGCCCGGCAGTCCTATTACTGTTACCATCTCTCCTCAGACACCGTCTTCCCCACGGACACTTCTTCTGGTTAAATAATTAACTCGCTGGAAAAGTATAGTGAACATCCCAGCACTTTACTTCTTACTCAGTGACATGTTACACAAGCAGTCTTTCATCCTACCTGCAGATGTAGTTGGTCTTGCAGGAGGCTTGCAAGGAGAGACAGTTGGGCTTTTCCTTGTCCTCGTAGGAGCAGGCTGGCACGATGGTCTGACGTCTGCGCTCGGAGCAAGCCGAATGATCCCCGGAGGGGCAGGAGCAGAAAAGCATGCCATAGCTATGCTTCGGTGGCACCTTGTCGAAGAACTGCCGCAGGGCCTTGTGGCACTTGCGCTTGTTACACACTTCAGTAGTGGAGACTCGACTGGTGCAGGGGCTGATGTACAAGGAGCGGTACTTCTTACATGTGTCATTCAGGTTGCAGGCCTTGGCAGCATTCAGGCAGTTGTTGTCCTTGGTAAAGGCCGCTTCACCTATGCAGGCAGAGAGAGAGAGAGAGAGAGAGAGAGAGTTACAAACACTACTGGCTGATTTTACTGATGCGAGTGTTGTAAATGTCAGAGAACACTAGCTGAGAGTGGGGCAACTGTTGACCTTTTAGGACTGTGATCGTCCTTTGGCTAAAGTCGTGCCGAACGTGTTCACAGAACTAGAGGCCATGCGTCATCCAGCATGTGGTCTGTGTGAGAGCAACAATACTACTAATTAATATTGACAAGTATGTATTTAAAGTACTAGAAGTTCTCCTGACACAGCTTGATATGAAGATGTACAGTTGAAGTCAGAATTGTTAGCCCTCCTGAATTAAATCTGCTGAATATTTCTTTTCATAATTTACGTTTAAGGAAGAGTATTTTCACCACATTTCTAAACATAACAGTTTTAATAACTGAATTGTTTTATCTTTGTCATGATGACGGTACACAATATTTTACTAAACATTTTTCAAGATACTAGTTTTCACAGGTGGGCTAATAATTATAACTGTAACTGAGGCCAGCTTAGTAGAAGCAAGAAACATAGATCTGAGTCCCGCTCAGAGTTTGGCAAGTAGAACCAGAAGGGTTACACTGCTGCCATTTCCTCAAACGTAAGAGAGGTTTAGTAAGGTGAGTATAAGAAATGCTATTTAATAGGAAAAAGCATTTTTCTCCTAATTAGGGGTTCAATTGGTGTTGTGACCCTTATTGCTAGATTGGTTCCGTAACCCTGATGTGAGTGAGGTTTACAGCGTTGAGTCTACAGGAGGCTGACTAGTATGAGCAAAGTAAGTTAACCTCACTCCACCGGCCTCTAGAGCAGTGGTGGGCAAACTTTTTAGACCCGAGGGCCAGATCAAGTTTTGCAAACCAAGTGAAGGGCCACATGTCAAATCCTTCAAAAAAGAACTTTTATTTATAGTGGCAGTATGCATAAAACATGTAATATCGGACAGAAACATGTCACATTTACACAAAACAAATGTTTTTAACTATTATCAATGTTACAAGTCAATTGAATTTGCACTGCTATTTATATTGATCATCACTTATCAATCATGATAAAACAATAAAATAATCTCTTATAAACTATAATAATAATAATAATAATAATAATAATGTAATAATGCGCATTGGGTGTGATCTGCCCCTTAGGTTGTAGTCTTTAAAAACAGCAATACTTTCTTGGCATATTAGACCTACTGCTTACTGTCCGATATTGGTGAAGAAGTATTTTGTTGTCCATTCTTCACCCTTACTCATTTTCCATTCCTTTGCCTGACTTATTTTCAGTCATTAAATTCAGGCATTTTAATATTCGAAAGTGTGTTCTAATTCTACTGATTCTACTACCATGAAATGGCAATACCTTGTATTGCATTAGTAATTTACTAATTCTAAAACCAAACCATTACTCAGAAGCAGCATTTTAAAATCTCCCTCGCGGGCCGGATGACAGTGTTCAGCGGGGCGTAGTTTGCTCACCTCTGCTTTAGAGTATGTGGTCTTTAGTATCCTTGTTAGCGCGCTTTCATCAACTTGAATTCCACTCACACTTAAAGAGCTAGTACAAAAAAGTAATTTTAGTAAGCCATAGACTGATTACATTAAAAGTGTGAGCATTACTTCTGCATTAAAATCACTATATATTACTGCATTTACAGTTTAAAACTTGCTTTATATCATAAATTTGTTAGAAGGTCCAACGCGCAGTTCTTTGTTTAAGTCTTAAATCATAGTGATCATGTTTTCTCCAACTATACACTTTTTGTCCCGATTCACTCTATCTGCTTTTCCACCCTTATGTAATGCCACTGCTATATAATATAAATAAGGTTAGTCTGAATGATAATTTGATGTATTATGCCCGCCATGTTGACAGTATCAGTTATGTAGCCTAATTGTCATTCACAAATCCTCTCCTGCAGCCCCACATATGTGTAGTCCATCTTGTTTGTATATAATTTGGTACATTTTATCCTCAAATACTATGAAATCATGCTAAAATTTGAGAGCATACTGATTTTCACCTAATCTGTACAATGGAAAACGAATCTCTTTGTGCTTCCACACACAGCAAGACTGGCTTAACCAATGATGCATGCCTGGAATGGAGCCATTTGCTTAACAAGCCAATCGCAGAATGTCCAGGAAACAGTGGCTTTCTTATTTATAACACTTATAACACACAGAACTTATAACACTTCTATTTTTTGTGTGTATATAATGTATGTACAGTTAGAGTCAGAATTATTAGTCTCCCTTTAATTTTTTTTCTTTTTAAAATATAAGGCAATTAAAAAAACATTTTAAGGACAAAATTATTAGCCCCTTTAAGCTATATATTTTAGATAGTCTACAAAACAAACCATCATTATACAATAACTTGCCTACTTACCCTAACCTGCCTAGTTAACCTAATTAACATAGTTAAGCCTTTAAATGTCATTTTAAGCTGTATAGAAGTGTCTTGAAAAATATCTAGTCAAATATTATTTACTGTCATCATGGCAAAGATAAAATAAACCAGTTATTAGAAATGAATTATTAAAACTATTATGTTTAGAAATGTGTTGAAAAAATCTACTCTTCGTTAAACAGAAATTGGGGGAAAAAATAAACAGGAGGGCTAATAATGCAGGGGGGCTAACAATTCTGACTTCAACTGTATATACAGTACAATATCATCATTAATTCAAGGCATCATCATTACTCAATGATATATTATCATTACTTGATGAGATATACAGATATACTGTATATCATCATTACTCCTATTCTAAAGTCACGTGATATATCAGAAATCATTCTAATTTGCTGCTCAAGTGACATTATTGTTATCAATGTGCAAACACTAGTGCTGCATAATAATCATAATAATAACGTTTTAAAAAAGAAGCAATTGTTACTAGCACTAAATATTCTACATACAAGCTTATCAACACATCACAAATTCATTACGTGTGTGAAAGTAGAAACAAAACGACTATTTTTTTTTTAATTTGTGTTTGTTTCTTCAACAGATCCCACACATAATGCCTGAAGCACAAGACTCTTTTAACCCATTTCCAACCAAGAACCGACATCCTGTAGAGCACTGCAATCAAGCATCTAAACACGATTTTATTTTTGTTTAACGTTCAAATGTTTTTGCCTCAAGAACTTCTCTCTCAGCTTCTCCTTTTGTTCCCTTGCTCTCTATCTACACGGCATTCAAGTCTCCTGAACAAACAACCTCAGGTGAATCCTACACTCTCACACATGAATAAGTTCACAACCCTGAAACTCTGTTTGCCTTTTATTTCTCTTCTCTAAGCTGTCTGCTTGCTTTCACACATTTCTTCAAGAACACTTACGATGACAGACTCTTCAGCTATAGAGAAAAAACAATATTAGAATTCCCTGTATGTTGTGCTGAGCATTAGATAGAGAGCTTTGATCATGCACAATGACCGCTCTTAAAGTGTATTTTTGATGACTATCTGAATCTGCACACCATTTGTGTAAAATTAATCATTTTGATTACACAGTTATGAAAAATAATTAGAGTCCACTTGCAGCTAATCTAGATTTATTGGATGTGGGTTTCATATTACATTATATGTGTTCATATTAGTTTTCCTCTTTTTAGGTTTGATAACATATCTTCCAAATATCCAAAAATAATATTGTTGTTTAGAGCATTTTAAATAATAATAATTGGACAGAATAATTAATGTTTTTATATGTTGCAATTGAAAATAGTTTTTTAGGAATATAATATTGTTGATTATTCAATAAGATATTTTGAAGAATGTTGGAAACCAGTAATCATTGACACCTATAGGAAAACAAATATGGTGGTCAGGGGGGAGTAAATGATGACAGAATTTGAATTTCCATTTTTGTTTTCAAAATGTTCATGATCCCTTTAAATCTTCTGAAGTTTTGGTATTCTGTTGTTAAAAATGAATATAAACGTCTAAAAACATGGCACCTTTTTTGTTATAAATATAAATAAATCACAAATCCAGAGAAATTAATGCCATTTCTTCCAAAATTCTATTGTCATTTAGAGTATTTAAAATAATAATTGGACAGAATAATATTTTTGTATGTTGCAGTTGAAAATCAGCATATTTTTTACTGAATTTAGCATTGTTAATTGTTAAAGAAGATATTTTAAAGGATGTTGGAAACCAGTAACCATTGACACCTATAGAAAAACAAATATGGTAGTCATTGAAACAATCGAGGGGGAGTAAATGATGACATCATTTTAATTTCCATTTTTGTTTTCAAAATATTGATGGTCCCTTTAAATCTTCTGAAGTTTTGGTATTCTGTTGTCCAAAATGAAAATGAATGTCTGAAAACATGGCACTATTTTTGTAATAAATACAAATAAATCATAAATCCAGAGAAATTAGGAACTTTAAAAGTGCTCACTTGGTTCAAAATATGTATGGAGAGGGAATAAAACATAAATAAAACATGATGAAAAAATATTTCTTAATATTAATTATGCAGAAAGAATGTGCCACGTACTGTAGCAAGATTACGTAATTCTGATTGGTGTATGTTTTATGCATTACTATTAAATATTGGTTGTCATATATTTCACATTCTACAAATATGTTTAAATAGAAAAATCAATGTTTAAAAAAAAATCATTTAAATAATAATTATTTAATGAGCCCCTATTATGAGTTTTTGAAAATAAACCTTCCCTGCAGTGTTTAACACAGCTCTAAGTGAATGAAAACATCCAGCTGAGGGTTAAATCTGAAAGTGCACCGTATTTAAAACTATTGATTCTTCAATGAAATAGTCGACTCAAGAGTCGAACAAGTGAATCGTGTTGGGTTTGGATCTTTTGCCTGAACGCATGGACCTTGATACGGTACATCACCAAATACAGTATGAAGTGCTGGATCCGGTAAAACATGAACACGTTTTTTCTTTCAGACACTAGCGTAGCGCAGGGAATCACGGGACTAATCATGACACAAAAA